GTGCTCTCCATAATTACATTCGTAACCAGGATGGGATAGACAAAAACTTTTCCCTTTATGGAGATTCGGAGTACCCATTTGGATCTAGAGAAGTGTAGGTTGCATATTATACATCACGTGAGTAAGCAGCTGAGATAAACATGCTTAGGAAAAGTATTGCAAATAAAATGGCAAGGGATTGCAATATGCCTGAGATTCCATGATATTGTGTTTCCAACTTTTGTAATATTGTTTTTAAATACTATATCGCAATGGGAGAGGATCCTTATGTGTCTTGAGTTTTTGAGTGCCTCTTTTATTTGCTGACTTGTTTAAATACGACCTTTAGGATGTACACTTAAGCACGGAGTGATGAATTTCAGTGGCGTTTCTTGTATATATATATATATATATCAGCATGTTTATACATATCACCATGAGATGGGAGTAGTTCATTTGGTACTCCAAATTTACTTATTCAGCTTCCTCTGTTCATGACATATCTGGTGTGCACTTGGAATTTTTTAAAGCGTTGCGCATGTTTATGTAAGAATCAATGTTTATGTCTTACTTTCCAAAGAAGATATTTAGCAAACCGTGTGTAATGACTTCCCTACTGGGCTAACTACTAGAAAATGAACCTTATCTTGCATTGTCAAATAATTATCATTACTTTTCGTGAGAAATTATTCGCTAACAATTCATGCAGGTGCAATGCAATGTAGCAATATGAGAAAGAGTTATGACCATTATAAAAGCACTTGAAAAAAAACAATACGTACTTCAAATTGAGATAGAACACTGATAGGAGTGATAGAGGGAAGAGCTTATATCAAGTATATACCATGTTTATACATATCACCATGTATATACCAAGTATATACATATCACCATGTTCATCATGTTTCCTTCACTTACAAGAAAAAAATAAATTGGTGAGTGCTCCATGAGAATCAAATGCCAAGTTTTAAAAAGCATTTGAAAAAAATTTGGAATAGAAATTTTATGTAGTTACCAAATGCATTTCTGTTCTTTTTTTATTCCAGGAATAGAAATTTTGAGTAGTTACCAAACGCTTTCAAATGTTCAAAAATTATTCACGAGTACAGAATAAAAAAAATTATTTTTGAGCAGAAATTATTTTCGAGAACAGAATGGTTAACAAACGCACCCTAGATTTGTGCTCACCTAGTCATGGAGGTTGCCAAGGTCGAGGCCAACCTCACCCAAGTCGACACTGGCCGAGGTCAAGGCTCGCCTCTGGTCTCCAGATCTAGCTTGTCGAAGATCGTGTGACCTCGGCAGCCTCACTTGGGGCCCATTGCCGGATCTATCGAGTCACCTGATTGATGTCTTTTCTTCTTCTTAGACTTTTTGTAAAAAGACCAAAGTCCTTTCCAGTCTTACGTAAACAGTGTTTACATTTCGAGAAAGCCCTTCGGTCTTAAGTGCTTGCATTAATGCAAAGATTTCGCGCGAATGCTCTTCTAAACGCACCCTTGATCTACATTTGGACTTTCCAATGCATGAGACCTTCGGTTTCTCCACCTTTGAACGTTGAAGGGTGTCTGAAGAAAACTTGAGGAGATGTTGTTAGCCAATGCCTCGTGTATCCGGAAACGACGTGACTATCAATTTGGGATGAGTAAGGTTGTTCCCACTCAGAACTCAGTTGTACCTTGAATCGATCATTATTACATCATTATATCCAACATGAATTGATTTATTCTAACACAAAACATACCAACCATAGATCATTATATCCACGCAAAAATGAATTTATATTTTCATTTTCTAGCTTTTTTTTCGAGATAGATATGCTAAATCCTAGATATTTTAAAGGAATTCGACCGTTATAGCCAACCGAGTTCGAATTTCGAGATAATTCCCACGTCAATCCTACTCTAATGTAATTTATTTCTATTTCCCAGACAATTAGAAAGTTGAGTTTTTTGCAAGAAAAAAGATCTCGAACCATATCTCTAATTGACAGATTATCAATTATGGACGTTACCTCCAAGGAAATATGACTAAGGATGCGTTTGTTTCACCGAAATTTTTATGATAAAAGAAAATATTTTCAATGAAAATTATTATCAAAGAAAATTATTGGTTTTCATTTGTATGGTGGTTTACAAAAATTGATTTTCTTCTTACCTGGAAAGAGAGTCGTTTCTCTTTAATCTAATCTTATTTTTTATAGTTCGTGGAAGATGTTTTCCTTGGATAAATTAGTTTTCTGTCATCTAAATACCAAAAAGTCATAAAATAATTGTTTAGAAATAATTTTCCTTCAAATAAATAGACCCTAAAAGGAAATTGAACATTGGCGATAACCAAAATCTGTATCATATCAATTATGGGAAAACACGGCTCCATAACTAAAACTTGTTAAGAGCTTCCTTTTTCCGGGTTTGGCAATCGGGTCGGCTTTTGCGAAAACCGACCGGTCCACTTTCCGAGTTGATCTTAAGCGCGCGCGTTCCCTTACATCGGTATGCTGCATTCGGGATTTCGGTCCCGGCATAATTCGAACCCGCGACTGTAAGAAGCGAAGCAAACTCCCTCACCATTCAAGACCAGGCCCGATCTGTTCGGGTACAGACGTTTACAAGAACTCGAGGAACCGATCTAGCCAGATCCCCTCTACGATGCAAGCGAAATTGGGGTCTCCTAATTTCTAATTCGGACGTGAGCCCGGCAAAACCGTCGTGCCCGTACTTTCGACGTATAACCACGGGCGGGAGCTTAAATTTTTCCCGCCACCAAATGTACCCGTAACGAAATTTTGAAACACAAAAACCGAATTTTGGGGGGGTCGCTCCTCCACCGCCGTCCGATCTCGGTCCCTTAAATCCCCCGAGGGCGCGATCAACGGCCACGCTCGGCCTCGGACATGATGTGCTCGCGCGCACCCGAATTTCGCGTCCTCGCCCCCTTTACGCCCGCCTCGCGGGCGCGCACGCGCCCCACTCCGCAGGAGCCGACCCCGGGAGCGCTTCGCGTGGCCTCCACGGGCGGGGGTCGGCGCGTGGGGTCCGGATTCGCCCCCGCCGAACCGCGGCACCGAGGATGGTGTGCCGCGTGCAACGTGGCGGCGCGCGATTGGGCGGGCCCCTCCGTTTGGTTGAGCCGGGAAAATTCGCGGGGGTTTTAAAAGAAATCCGATTGGGAGAGAATTTTTGGACTTATGTAAATTTGCGCACCGGATTGACCGATTTGCCCCCATGCGAAAAGACGTTTGCCATCTTGCCACTCGTGCCCAGGGACTATCGCTTCATACCACGCCCGCGCCCACAAAACTTGCAATTTCTTCATTTCAGGCCCAAACGTTTTCATTCAGCCGAGGACCCCAATACTTTTAACACCAATCCCACATAATAAAATAAAATGGAATACACCAATTGAGAATTTATTCGCTTTTCGAACGTCGGTCGTATCTTGCATCGCACGGCTCTGCCGATTGGGTCCAGTATGAGTCCCTGCCGAGCGAGCCGGGCTTTAATTTGGTGGTTCGAAAGTTCGTTTTCCCCGGCTATAATGTAATCATTAAATATTTCGTGCCGGTTCACAAACCGGAAAAGAAAATTTCTCACGAAAGAGGCCGAGAGATAAATGCGAGTAAGAAATTCAATGCATGGGTTTTTGGCGTGGTCATTTACTCTTTTTTTTTAATTGTGAATGGCACCGAATCTAAAAGGGATTTCTTTTGCGCTCCAACGCCACGATTTTCCATCCATTCAAACCGACAATGTAACACCATGTGTGAAGTAATGTTTTTTTTTTTTTTGGACAATAGGGATTGCTTTGATCGGATAGAAGCGTGCTTCAAACACATCTAAAAGTCAATCATACTAAATAAGTTTGCAATATAAATATCACAATTAGGAAAAAAGGAACAGTTTCCTACCAATGCCGTGCATTTTCCCATTACCATTTGATGACTTAAAATTTAAAAATCTCTTTTTCCCGCGAAAAACCCATCCCAATGACTTGAAGGTGCTCGTGATTTATTTATGCATTGTTTAGAAAATTTCAAACATCTTTCAACTATCACTTTACATCTTCCACATAAATTTTGGCATCTCTTTGAATTTATTTGATTTTTGAAAAATATTTACTACGGCAATCTGTCTATATTTATGGTCAATACGTTTTTCCCGGAAAAATCCAAACGCTCTTTAAAATTATCTTTTTTTACTTAAAAGACCCATTATGGTAGCTTGTCTGTATTTACGGTCAACACATTTTTTTCAGTAGACTCCAAATGCCCTTTAAAACCATCCCTTTAAAATTTTTGATTTCAGAGAAATATTTATTACGGGAATCTGTCCATGGTTATGGCCGACACATTTTTCCCGAAAAACTCCAAACACCCTTTTATACCATCTTTCTTTTTTTCACCAAAAAGACTTGTTATGATAGCTTATTAGTATGTACAGTCAACACAATTTGTTTTTTTCAGTAGGCTCCAAAAGCTCTTTAAAACCATCTTTTTTTTTTGCGGAAAAGACCCGTTATGAGAACTTTTCGTGTATCTTCAACCCATTTGTTTTTTCGGGATAATTTTGAAATGCCCTTACCAAATAACTATTCCTTCGCTGGATCTCTTTTTATGAAGACTCTATTTTATAGACTATCCGGCTATATCATCGTAATCCAGCTGTATCATCGTAATCCAGCTTGATTACATATTCATCCCTATCCTTACAAATCATAATTTCATTTATTTCTCAGATGGGTATAATATCCACGTAAAAATTTCCGTCTCATTATCAGTGTGGCATGCGAAAAGCAACGCATGAGGGGAAGGGAGGGGGAGGGGGAGGGGGAGCGGGGGGGGGGAATTAAAAATAAAATTCGAAAAAAAGAAGCTATTTGTTGTCCCTTTGGGCAACAAATGGAAATCTCGAATTGACGAAGGGCAGGTTTGCAAAAATCTGTCCCTCCGGCGAATTTAAATACCACCCTCCGGGGCAGTTCGGGCAATTCCAGACAAATTGAATAGGTGCCTCCTCTCTCTCTCTCTTTGCCGTCTTTCCTATCCTCCATCTCCCTGTCTCTCTGTTTCACCTTCTCCGAAGAAAACCGACCCCAATCTTTTCCCCCAAATCTCTTCCCCCAAAAACCCTAATTTTGCGACGCCGGCTGTTCGAGCATTCCGCCGATCGAATCCACGCGACGGAGCTGATCGAATCGCGCCTGGGAGGATACGCCGGAGGGCCCTTCTCGGTAGGATCTGCTGATTCCCGCTGCCGCCGCTGCTGTGTTTGGATTTTAGGTTTCCCGAGGTGGTTTCGTCGGTCCGCCGGGGGGGGGGGGGGGGAGCCCATGGCGAACGGTACGGATTCCGAGGAGTTCGTGGTGCTGTCCAGAGTGAGGCCGGGGTTGAAGCGCGAGTTTGCATTCGCCCTGAAGGCGCAGTCCGAGATCCGCGGGTCTTTCGGTCGGACGCGGGCGAGGAGGGCCCAGAACGGTGCTTACGGCGGCGGGGTGTCGTCGGGGTCGGGCAATAACAAGCGCTTGAAGAGGAGTCCGGAGGCGGCCGGGGAGGGAGAGCTCGCGGTGCGGAAGCCGGTGAGCGAAGGTGAGAGGGCTGCTGGTGCAGGGGAGGCGGCGAATGTGGTTGCGCGTGCTGTGAAGGTGGAGAAATTGGGGAGAGATTGCGAGGGTGCGGCGGGTTCGACGAGCGAAGAGGAGGCGAAGAGCGACGTGGTGGACGTTGAAGATGTTCGGAAGAGCAGCTTGGGAGGTTCTGTCGGCGATAATGGTTTGAAGAGTGACATTCCGACGGAAAATGTGGGTTTCAAGCCCGAAATCGTCTCACTTGATGGGGCAGTGAAAGGCACCGAGGCAAATCCAGTACGTGAAGAGGAAGACAAAGTTGAGAAAGACACTGACCTGGGGAAACTCCATGGTCTTTCTTTTACTGGGGACCAGCGGAAAGTTGAAACAGCACCATTATCTGGAAATAAGGAAGACCAAGTGTTGGCTGAGAAGCCCTATAGGCGGTTTACTCGTTCAGCACTAAAGCCAAAGGAAGATGTTGTGGAGAAAACTGTGGCAACAAATGTGAGAAAAGCGAGCCATGGCAAGGTAATTGGCGATGGAGGTGATAGGAAACTAGAGAATGGGGCGAGTGCATTGGTTAACACTCCAACGAAGTTGGAGATCAAAATGTCTAAGAAGATTGCATTAAAGAAGCCATTTTCAACGTTGAAGGATTTTCTTGAGACGGGATTACTCGAGGGTCTTGCTGTGAAGTATTTCCGGGTTTTAAGGGTACCTATTCTTTTCATTTGATGTTTGTGACAATATTTTAGCTTTGCGAACTCCTCTTCAGTTGAAATGACGTTGCTATCGCTCCTTTTTGCAGGATCGGAATCGTGAAAAAGGGCTTGGTGGAGTAATCAGAGGAACTGGGATTCAGTGCTCCTGTGCAGAGTGCAAAGGAGTCAATGTAAGCATCTTGTAGCCCATAATCTAAGGGTTCATTTGGGTTGTTATTTTCCTTCTGAGTAATATGCTAGCGATACTGAGATTGGTATGTGAAGTTGGTCTATTTATTCAACGGCAACACAAGTCTGCGGCATTAAGTTGTATGCTGATTTTGTAAACCAATCTTACTATCTTTAGCATAAATTGTTGTGCTTAGTCAGTTTGATTTTCTGAAGGATGTATGGCAAATTGCGTAGGTTGTCTCGCCCGCCATCTTCGAGCTTCATGCTGGCAGTTTAAATAAACGTCCACCTGAATATATAGTCTTGGCAAATGGGAAAACTCTTCGCGATGTAATGAATGCGGTCAAGAATGCACAGTTAGATACTATAGAAGAGGCTGTTCAAGATGTTCTTGGTTCTTCACGGATAAACAAATGTAACATATGTTTAAATTGCAAAGGTGTGTTTTCAGTTACTTGTTGATGTCGGTGTTTCTTTTGAAAGAAGAAGAGCGAATTCTAAACGTCTTTGTGCTATTAGGAGCCATCTCTGAGATGACAACGGGAAACTTAAAGCTTTTGTGCAATTCATGCTTGGATTTGAGAGGGTCCCGGGTTTCGCCTGGTCAAGTAGTTACTACTGACGAGGTTTTTCTAGATCAAGTAGCTGTTGCTGCTCAGGCTTCACCTGATCAAGGTGCTGTTGCTGAGCAGGCTTCTGCCGGTGTAGCAGCTGTTTCTCCACAAAGGTACGTTGTCTTTTGCTGTTTTTTTTTTGGTTTTGGCTAGTGATACTGCTTGCTTCGTATCTATTTTTGGGGTTAGATAGCTCATATTATGAATTTTACTCGAGGACTACATCAATAAGTCTTTCACCAAAGCTGCCGAGTCTGTGATATGTTTTGCCAAGAAAAGCAGTTATAAGGCAGATGGTAGAATAATGTACCCTCTGATGTTCTAATCTAGCTATTACCTAAAAGCAAATGTTATGCTTGATCGGGATACATATATCTTTTATAGGGTCTGGATTTCTTAATTAGTCTTATTTTGCTGTTTTGTTGTGGATAAATATATAGTGTGTGAGGTCTGAATATCTTAATTAGTCTGTTTCTGCCTTACGATGCTTATACTTATTACTGCATCTTTTTCCTTGTTAAAAATGGTAAACTTATTTTTATTTTTTTTGCATAACTTTTCTCATTGCGAGTATTCATTGTTCTTTTTTCTGGTTTGTAAGTTCAGATTGCCAGAAACACATCCAGCTTTGGAGTCATCTGCTGATTTGTCTGCTGGCACAGCAAGAGCTGCTTCTTCGCAGGCTAAGAGTCGGGGAAAATTAACTAGAAAGTTAGTATTTAGTTTGTCAAGTAATCTTTTTTGTTTCTTATCAATTGAGTGATCAATAAAGGAAATATGGAATGAAAGAATTAGGAACCGATGTATACATTTAAGCCTTTCTTTGCTTTCATTTCTGAATTCACTCTGTGAAATTTGGCATGTGTTTTTGATAGGGACCTGCGTTTGCATAAGTTGGTTTTTGAGGAGGATGTGTTGCCTGATGGGACTGAAGTTGCGTATTTTGTACGCGGGAAGGTGTGATTATGAAGTTTGACCCATCTTGTTTTGGATCCACAATGTATGTTTTTTTCATGCTAAAAAGCTATTTTTATTGAGCAGAAATTGCTGGTCGGCTACAAAAAAGGGTTTGCGATCTTTTGTACTTGCTGTGATTCTGAGGTAATGGGAGTGCTTGTTTAACTTGAACAATGTTGTGGTTTGTTTCTGATCTTCACGGTACATAAACTCCTTGACTTTTGTTGAACAGGTCAGCCCCTCACAATTTGAAGCTCATGCGGGTTGGCCATCACGTCGCAAGCCGTAAGTTTTGTTCAAGATATTTGCTTTCTTTGGTTTTTGGTTAGGTCATGTAGTTCAGGAAAGTGTTGGTTGTTGGCTCAAGATATAATAGACTGGATTGCACTGTCATGTCTGGATCGGGATTACTTGCTCTGATAAGCATATAGAAACTGGAGGGTAATGAATTTTTGAATCCATTTAGGATGGATTCTGTATCGTATACATGTCTTTCAATAAGCAAGGGCGAAGGGCTGACGAGAATGGTAACAATTGATCCTAAAACCTTGAGGGTCTTGGTAAAAGGCAGATTACTGCAAGACCAACTATTATCTCTGAAATCTCTCGGATGGCATTTTGCAGGTACTTAAACATTTACACATCTAATGGTGTTTCCCTTCATGAATTGGCAATATCCTTATCGAGGAGAAGGAGGTTGTCTACCAATGAGAATGATGACCTTTGCTCCATTTGTTTTGATGGAGGGGATCTTTTGTGTTGTGATACTTGCCCAAGGGCTTTTCACTTAGGTAATTAATTGTCCTTGTGCTAATTACCTTTGTCCCGATATTTCTGCGTCTTATCAATAAATTGTTTTTGTTATTGGATAGGAATGCAGTCTGGTTCCTTTTCTTTATGTTTATATTTCGAAGGGGGAATGTCATGGGAAAATGTTGCTCCTGGAATTAAACATTTTGTGGTAACCTGTTCTATGTGTTGACAATGTCATGTGGTGACTGCCAACCTCTTAAATGACCTTGGGTTTGCTAATTAGCAAAGAGACAGCGCTTAGAGAACCTAGTATGGGATGGAAGAAGACTGGCTTATAAAAGACTTTGGGAGAATTTGATTTGTCATCTAGACGATATTAGATCTCATGAAGAATCTTTTGGGAGCAATTTGTTGTGCTCTTTTCACAGAAAATTGGGGATACATCATCCTTATTGACTCATGAAATAATTTCACTACGCAATAACTGAAATATTCTTTTGATATTTCCAGAATGGTTATTTTCTTTTTATGAATATTTTTTACATTCGTATGTCTACTAATTTTGTGAAATATGGTGGCGGCGCTTATTATTGTTATATATCTTGGCTAGAAGTATAGTTGTGCTTTTCATTCTACAGATTCAGACAATCCTGAGGTTCCAATCCAATAGGATTCATTATGATAACTATTTCTTCTAATTTTTCAGTTCTTTTTTTAATAAAAAATTTGAACATGTAGATGGAGCTAGAACCAATTTTGTCATTGCCTTCATTGCTCAGAGTTGTGTGTATTCTTATACTTTTGGCTGGCTTTGTTATTTTTGTCTCTTCAAATGTCTTTAGTTCTCATATCGATACTGGTTCTTATTGCTTTGCTGTGTTGTGTTGATGTCCTCTTCTGACTTTGTATTTCTTATTATCTATGCATGTCATAATTTTATTCCAATAAAAGAAGTGTATATTAATTGTTTGGCCAAATACGTCGTTAGATTGATGGAAATGTATCTGGCTGTTTTGATGGATGACTTCCAAAATTCTAGTGTTTAATTTCTAGTAGTCATTTGACTTGTATTGTTATTATGCTATTTATTATCGTATTTAGTGAGAGATGGTTATTTCTTTATTTTAGTCAAGAGTACAGGTGATGTGCCAAGTCTTTTACATGTTCATTTCCCAAGAATCAATCTAGTTTTCCCCTTGTAAGATTGCAAGTCCACATTTAGCCCCTTTCTGTTTAAAGTGCCTATGATCTGGATTGCACTTGAATCCTCTGGTAGTGTCTACTGTTTGTATGTGCTTCCATTTATATTGATGAAACAAGTGGAAGACAGATGTTTTCTGTTCTGTACCATGTCATTACAAGTTGGTTTAATTGATTTTCCTACTTTGAGTTCCCGCAGAGTGTGTATCTCTTTCAAGAATTCCTAAGGATAGCTGGAACTGTAGATATTGCCAGAATATTCATCAAATGGAGAAGTGTGTGGAGCACAATGTTAATGCATTGGCAGCTGGAAGGATTGCTGGAGCTGATCCTATAGAACAGATAACCAAGCGATGCATTCGAATTGTGAAAACTCCAGAGACTGAAGAAGTTGGAGTTTGTGCATTGTGCAGGTTGTTTGGAATTTTAACGCCATCTGGAAACATGTTCGACGCTTTCTCATAGCTTTTGTTTTAATATCTAATTGCGAACTAGCCAATGCTAATATTGCATGGAATTGCTGCTATTATTACTTCTATTGTGTATCTGCAGCTTTTAGCTAGAATATTATTACATCAACTTCTGTTTGAGCGAATTGCAACTCTGATCTGTTTGATCTCATTCTTGATTTGTGCTGGTGCTCATCTTGTCTTCGTCCACGTTCATCTGGGTTAATGTTATGCTCTTTTGCTTGCAGAAGCAAGGGTTTCACCAAATCTGGTTTTGGTCCTAGGACAGTTATCATTTGTGATCAGGTATTATTTTTCAGCAGATTAGTTAAATGACTATTTTTTTTTACTTTGTACTTCACAGATCCAAAAGAAAAAAGAAAAGAAAAGAAAGGAAAGTTTATGTACCTGTTACTTCATATTTTTGTACTTCCAACCTGTTGATTCATCTTCGTCTTAATCCCTAGTGTGAGAAGGAATTTCATGTCTGCTGTTTGAGGGATCACAAAGTGGCTGATTTGAAGGTGTGTTCTTTATCTATGGGAGTCTGGTTATATTGTCTTTGTCAACTTTGTCGTCTAAGCTTGGAAATTCATTGACTTGCCGCAACACGAACAGGAATTGCCAGAAGGAAATTGGTTCTGTTGCATGGATTGCGAGAGGATGCACTCTGCTTTGGAAGAAATGGTAATTCAGGGAGAGAAGAAGCTTCCAGACTCCCTCTTGGATGTGATAAAGAAGAAGCGTGAGGAAAAAGACACTCAGAATGAATCCAATCTCGATATAAGATGGAGGATTCTTAACAACAAAATATTGTCTGATGATGCATCGAAGCGGTTGCTTTCTAAATCTGTTGCCCTTTTTCATGTGAGCAATCTCACTTTGGGCAGAGCAGTTTTCTATTTATTGTCGCCGATATGATCATGATGCTGTAGTACTTTGACTTCGTATATTAAATTGATTGCCATGGTCCTCCGCTGTAGTGATGTCTGATCTATGTTTCTATCTTTCCAATATCTGATATCTCCATTAAAGTGCTCATCTCTTTTAGTTGCATTATACTTTAGGAGCGGTTTGATCCGATTGCTGAAACTAGGAATGGACGGGATCTCATTCCTGCTATGGTCTATGGGTAAGGCAATGAATTATAGTAGTTTGGATGTCCCTTTAATGCTATATATATCATGGCATCCAGTATCACTTAGCTTGCATGATTACCAATTGATTTTCAGGAGGAGCTATAAGGGCCAAGTACTCAGCGGGATGTTCTGTGTGATATTACTTGTCAAGTGAGTATTGTCTGTGTATGAAGTCCTCAATGTTGTATATATTACGGAATGCTTGACAAATATTTCTTGCTTTGCAGCCATGCAGTTGTGTCAGCGGGAACTCTTCGCATTTTTGGGCATGAAATGGCAGAACTTCCTTTGGTTGCCACGAGTACAGATTGCCAAGGACGAGTGAGCATATCTGCTGCTACTCTGATTTTTCTGAAACCACCCCCTATTTTACATCTTTGACAGCCTCTTCCAGCGTCTCATGTATCCAACCCATTTTGTGCAGGGTTACTTCCAGTCTTTATTTGGCTGCATTGAGAGGCTTCTTCATTCTCTCAATGTGAAGAATCTCGTGCTTCCTGCTGCAGAGGAAGCAGAATCCATATGGACAAACCGATTTGGTTTTGGCAAGATGACCCCTGAGGAGGTTTGTGAATGTGCATTCATCCACGCCTCTTGAGCAGGAGATTTGAAATGCTTGGTCTCATGCATTCATTTCTTTTGCAGTTGAAGCAGTTGAGAAGAAATCGCCAGATGATGGTCTTTCAAGGGACGACTGTGCTGCACAAGGCAGTTCCCGTGTTCCCTGAAACAGAGAGCAGCAGAATCAACGTTTGATTCCTATGGAAAAGCTTTTGGGGGCCAACGGCCGTTTTGTCTCGGCCCATAAGTTGTACAGGGTTTCTGAAACTTTTTGTATAGGGTTGATGAATATCGCCGCTTAGTCTTTTGAGCGTGTTAGGCAATTTTTGGCAGCGCAGAGAGGAAATGAGAAGCAGGGTTTTGTAGCTGGTGGGTGAGAGATACAAGGAATTAGAAAAAAAAAAGTTTTGGGAGGATGTTTTATACTAGAAACCACAGAAGATGGTGATGTACATTTCAAAGGACAACCGTTTCTAGATTTTAACATATATACATCTGCAACTTTTCATAGGCTCAATTTTACCCGTGATTCTGTTCTGTCTATTTGGCTCGTCTTTATTGGATGAACGGGATCATGTCAGCATTAAATTGAGTTGGCCCGATCTTGATGAGATTGTTTTCTTGGGCGAGATGTTTCGCGCATAAGCAGTGCCGTGATCACATACTGGTGCATTATAATTGACAATCTGTTTGAAAATTTTACAATGTGGCCAGCGATTATATGTAAGCTTATGGCCTCTTTAGTTGATACCGTGTTGATGCATGGAGGCTGGGTCGACCCGTAAATTAGGAAAACGAGACTTGAAAAATTGAGATTATTGCACAGCGGGACGTGTTGAAAATTTTGAAAATTCAAACATGCAAAACGCGCCCCGGTTTTGCCATTTGCCCGTTTCACGCCCCTTTAAAATGATTGCCTTTTGAGATTCATTTCAAATTCAATTCTGTGTACTGCTGGATCGGTTGCGTTCTTTAGAGGTTCGAAAGATGGGTCAGAATCAGATCCAGTATTCGGAGAAATACTGCGACGACACTTTCGAGTACAGGTACGGGTGCTTTGAACTCCTCGCCGTCTCTTTCTCATTTCGATTCTTTTCTTTGTACCCATTTGGAGATTTGTGTGATTACCGTGTGTCCTGCGACTCTTTTGTGTTCTTTCGTTGTTCTTGATTCTTGATCTTCGGTTTCAGGCACGTGGTTCTTCCGCCAGAAGTTGCGAAACTACTTCCCAAGAACAAACTTCTCGCCGAAGTAAGTACGGTTGCATTGCTCTCGGGTTTCCTCTCTCCTTTGAATTTGTGGGTAATCCGCTAATAAGAAGATTGAAGCGATGAAGCGTGGAATGGTTGTGCGTGTGTGTTTGCATGTTGTGAGGAATCTACAGCACTCAAGGGGAAAAAATGGGGAGAAGATGAATTGTGGGATGCTGTCGCGCTGGCATCGATTGATGGTTCAAGCATCACGCGGTGCGGTCGTATGAGAATAAGTTGTCTCTTGATGTGGTTTGAACGTATTTTTCTTGCTTCTGTCGTGCGGAGTTCGCAATATGAGATAGTGGGTGTTTGGCTTGATCCGCCATTGTTTAAAAATCTTGCTTGCTATCTTTCTCTAGTGAATCGACCATTCTATAAGAGATATCATCGGTGAGTTTGATTCTTAATGCCTAAAGTCTCTTTGATTTCTTGCTGTTAGAATGAGTGGCGTGCAATTGGAGTTCAGCAGAGCCGTGGTTGGGTTCATTATGCCATTCATCGCCCTGAGCCACACATCATGCTCTTCCGGAGGCCTCTGAACTATCAGCAGCAACAGGAGAACCAGGCCCAGCACAATGTCCTTGCCAAGTGATGTGTTGCTGAGTTGATTTCTTTTGTAGGATTACAGCTTATCTTGATTATGACGAGTGTACTTTAAAGTTGTATAGTTATGGTAGACCGATTTTGCGCTGCGATTTCCCTTTTCAAAGGATTGCGAAGGTTTCTCTTTGTGAGCAGTGCGACGATCATCCAGCATCGTGCAGTAGTGATTCCTTATAAGGATTCGGAAGTTCACCTGTGGCATTGTCTACTGGTTATTATATGTATATAATGTTGCCCATGAGGGGATGATTTGCCAATGATTTTGAGTGGCATCGGCAGTCAGTCACATGACTTCATCCCGATGATGCGCCATTACTCTAGTCCACAATCACGGGTTCAGATGAATGCGTGGCGTGGTATCGCCTTTAGGAGCTAATCTGGATGAACTGGAACTGTTTAATTCTAATGCTTCCTGGAATTCCAGTTCTTGAACAATCATGCTGAGATTGGAGGAGTTGGATAAGTTCCAGTTAATTATACGGTTTGCAGGACATTTCTCGAAGTGACCCCTGATCGCTCATTATCTCCCTATGTCGCGGTATTCGTCTGAATTTGCGACTCATGCAACGAGGAACAAGGTGTTTATTGGACGTTAGACGTGACCCCGGCCGTGCAATGGGCTGGACGCATCGATTCTCTTGCTCGAGTTGCATTTCTCTAAGGCGCTAGGCTCGGCATTCTTTCTCTCGCGTTTCTTCTGCTCGGTTCTTGTCAATCCAAAGGGCTGGAACTGTAGCCCTATTGCCTTCACGCCGGCTCTCTGTTGCATACTTTCATGTATTTATCAGCAGACATCTCCAACATGGAGACTCGTCGTCCACGAAACATGAATGGCAGTGGATCCGTCCTCCCCAGAAGGACAAGATGACGAAAGAATCAGGCGAGGAAGGCTGTCAGTTTTTCTATCTGCATTGCACATCTGCTTTCCCAGACCTACCCATTAAAGACACAAACCCTGTACCACCTGATAAGAACATTAAGGAGAAGTGGTGGTTTCTGCAATCCTGGGACACTTTGCTTTGGTAGTCTCTTTCTTCCTTCATCGGTGTGTAAGCACTAAGCGCGCTCAATTGGGTTTACTGTTTACGCATGCAGCTTCCTTATTGCCTCAAGAATCTGTAATGCAATCCTCTCGACACGCGATCAGCATGTACAGCTTGAGTTAAGTAGATCAGATCACGCACGACACTACAGTACAGTGCAAGCCATACTATCCAATTCTGTCAGCAAACTACAAAGGCAAAAAGGGCCCAAAAGAAAAAAAGGGGAGAAGATCAAGAGAAAGCCAGAACGATGCACTGCGAACGGTCAAGCGGTGGGAGCCTGGGAAGAAGAAGAGGCCACAACAGAGTCGAGGATCATCCGAGTGAGGTCCTGAGTCAACTCGGCCTTCTTGGCCATCAGTGTCGCCTCCTCCAGCCGCAACCAGACGACCCTCTCGTTCACCATCCTCAGCCTCCCCTCCTCCAACCTCTTGAGCCCTTCCCTCCACACCCCGTTCCCGGGGAAGCACCTCTCGCACTCCTCCACCAGCGCCGGGAAGTTCCCCAGATCGGCGACGACCACCCTTTGGCTCTCCTCCTCGCCGCCCAGGATCTCCCCCTCGTCCTTCTCTCTCTCCTCGTCCAAATTCGCTTGCTGCTTTTCCTCCTCCTTGCCTCTCCTCTGCTTCCCCGAGTTCCTCCTGCCCCACACGTTCCGGGCGAGCTCGAACACCGCCCGGTCGTGCGGGGTCCTCACGAGGGCCTTGGTCCGCGCCTGCCGGTGGTACTTGTCCCGGAGCCGCCGGATCTTGTTGGCGACCTGGGCGCGGGTGAAGTTGGGCCCGAGGGACTTCTCGATGCGGCCGAGGGTCGGGGCGTCCGCGGCGGCGCCGGCGGCGGTGGGGGACGACGAGGAGGAGGGGTTGTTGGTGAGCTTGGAGAGGGATTTCAGGAGCCGGATCTCGTCCTCCTCGGAGAAGAGCCTGTCGGGCCTGGGCTTCTGCTGCTGCTGCTCGCCGGCGGGCGAGCGGCGGTCGTCGCTCCGGGCGGAGGCCGCCGGCGGGGAGGAAGCGCGGCTCCTCAGCCTGGGGGACACGCGTAGTTTGACGGGCGTTGACATGGGAACCAAAAAAAAGATGAAAGCTTGAACTGAACTCGAAACTACCGAGGCCTTTCGGAGCAACCGAGGTTTGTCCAGAGGGTCCGTTGCAAGAGATATACTGGTCACACGAGCGGGCCCATGTGGGCTTCTGCTAGAATGGGCCGCCTCAAGGCCCATGTGCGGTTCAACTCGGAGTACGAGATGCATGTCGGAAGCGGCTGCCGACGGCGCCACGGGGGTGTTTCCATCTGACTCCGAGGAACAGGGAGCGCGCACCGAATCGCTGAGTGGGTCTCTCCGCCGGCGGGGGCGCAAGGCGGGGGCTTTCCATTCGCGTCGCGTTTCTTTCTCGAAGGGCCCAGTTCGAATTCGTTCTTCCCGCAGGTATGATTTGCTCTTTGATTTGTGGGAGGAGGTTGTTTGGGAAAGGAAGGATCTTTGGATGAGCCGCTTCGTTACCTTTGTCTTGTCTCGTTGTTGTTCTGCGGGGAAATGCGCTTGGAGATGGTGCGGAATAGGAGATGCGTGCGCTGTTATGAATTGGAGATTGCTCGGTGAAAGATAGATTCAATGCTTCGTGTAATGAAGGGTTGTAGACGAAACTGGTGCGCGCGCAAGGCGATGTACTTTGGCTTTGATCAGTATTCTTTTCTTCTGTCGATCGTTTGTGTTGTTTGGGTATCGGAGAGTTTGAGAAGAATTGGCAGTTTTCACTACGGAAGTACAAACCCATTGGTTTGCTCTTCTACGTTGCGACGGCATTCCCCTCTTCCCCTGCATCAGTCTGTTCTTGCTTTGTTTTTCATGCTACGTTCCGCAATCTCGCAACTTGATAAATGGTTGATTTGGTTTTGAACTAGTTAATATCTGGTTGAGATGACAAGATTTTAGTCGGGCAAGTGGTTGCCATGGGGAGAGTTCTCGCGAACTTTGTTTCGTGCGGACTGTCGACGAGATATGTGGTGCAGAAGCAGTAGGAATATTTAGACAGCCGTCGTACTCATTCGTAAGGGTTCCATTCTGAAGTTCTCTTGATGTTGCTATTAGATGCGACATTCATAGCATTATTATGATCCGAGCGTGTATATGATCTTTGGGTTACATAATAAGCCACCTTGAGCTTATAAGTATGCGTACTGAAGGCTGAAGTGAGTAGCTGACCATTTGAAATGATGACTGTCATGCGTGAGGTTTCTGTGGCAAGCATTGACTGCTACCGGGATCAGATAGATGTATTGAATCACTTTTCCTTGTGGAATAGTGGCTTGCTTCTTCACCCTTGCTGACTGGTTGCCTCAAAGTCTAGAGATACATCTCAGACAGTTTCTCGTGCCTCCTTGATGGCCATATTAGATCAAAATACGGAGTGTTTAGACATGTACAATGATCTTAGGAAGAAATCTGTTAAGCTGGGGAAATTGTAAGCACATTTTGTCTCCATATGGTGACAGTTTATAACTTTGGTGCTCCTAATGCTTGTGCAGTTTCTGTTTATGAGAGAAAAAGAGAGATGAAACACTTTTCATGCTTGACTTTCCTTCCCGTGTGTTCAATTCTTGCTTAAATCAAAGTTTTCATCCGCTTTCTCTCTTTTGTGCTTATCCTTTACTTGCTATTTGACTATTATAATCCATGGATATTGGCTATACTTCTAATCTTGAGACAGACATCAAATGAAGAAATTTCAGGTCAAATACACTCAATATGACCTGTCCTGTCTTCCTTTTTATTTCTTGACCTGACTAGAATTGCACTCTGAAAGTGGTTGCCTCTGACTTGATTTCCCTCTCTTTTCGGTTGAACCAGCTTCCGCAATCTCAATGACCCGAGCACGGAATGTCGCTGTTGCGTCTGGTTTAGTAGCTTTTGCTGCTGCAGGCTTGGCATTTCCATTTTACATGGCGTATGTATCTTTCCTGCTTCCGGCACTTAAAGTTCGGACCTCTTTATGTCCATTTCATGTTTGTCTTCATGTTTTGCCATATCCAGGTCATCTCGAGCGAATCCCGTGATCGATGCATCAAAGCCGCTCCCACCTCAGGCAACTTTTCGAGGGCCTTACATAAACACAGGTTCACGTGACATTGGACCTGACCATCAGACTTACCCGAAGAAGTGAGCTGCTGTGGCTTACGTTGGCTTGGTTTCTGATCTGCACGTTCCTTTCTTCAATGCTGCTACATTCAAGTTGAAGATCCATCTCGAAGTAGCACCGCATGCTGGCCAAATTCACTGGGTTTGGAGCAAAATATTTGATTTACATCATTTCGACAAAATATTTAGCATTTGTTTTTCTCTTTATATGGAAACGTAATCTGTAGCTTTCATTGTTATCTTCCTGTAAAGTTCATTTGCTTTTGGGAAAATAATATTAAATCAAATGTGCAATGTCATTCTTAGACCTCTAATTATATAATATGATTCCTGAACGTGTGAAACGGAATTTATTGACATGCCCTACGATAAGTTTTAACAATAGACCGCAAAAAAAAAAAAAAAAAAATACGCATATGATTGAAGATGGATGAAAAAATGGAATTTGTGGTCACATGTTTTTATATCGTATTCTATGTTATCAAATAAAGTCCGATTTGTTATTTAATCAAACAGAAGGATAACATTGGGTATTCGAGGAGGATTCAAGGACCACATAAAACGAATCAAAAGTATAAGGCAAAATTTGGAGAATATTATTATTGTTTTCCCTTTGGTTTTCTTTTCCTGTGAGATACTTTTGTATGTCGGACAAGCAAGCGATGTAAATGAAATGTTGGGTATCCTGTTGGCATCTGTTTGCTTTACCCAATACCTTGTCTGGCTTTCACCCCACAGGATCGGTGCCGCCAGCCTCTCTCGCGGTGCTTCACTTTTTCTTTGCCTCAATTTCTTATGTACAGAATTGTTAGGACTTGACCAGTTTTGTGGACTGTCTTGTGGTGGGAAGTTAAGGAACTTCTTGTTATTACAGAAGTCCTACCGTCATCACTGCCTACGGAAGAGTTGAAGACTACACATATTGAAGTTGGCGGGGTAGTGCAGTCAAATTAGTCTTCGTATTTGAGTCAGATGAGTTTCCAGATTGTACAATTTTGTGCTTTGAAAAGAAGTAGAAGTCTGTTTTTACGATCTGACCCAGGAGTCTGTCTTAGAAAGTACCTGCCATCATCTTGCACACGACTCTTTTTGGCCAACCTGCGCATATGACTTGGAATCATTTGGCGCGAACAATTCGGGCAGGCATTATTTTGCATCAGGGCCTTTGATCACCTGCGCATATGAGATTTAGCTGGGCCGATTTTATGAAATTATACGATTGTTTGCGAACTAATCTGCCCGTGAAGTGGTCCGTGGTGTGTTAACAGCAAGTAATAACATACTTATGGGGCATCCGTAGTATTTTTGAACCCCTTTTGTTCCATCGATTCATATATGCAAATTCAGATTATAAGATTCACAATTGCACTTGGAAATGATAATTACAGCCATCTACAAGGGTTTATACGTCTGCTGCGACTGCGATTACCCCAAGATGGGCAAGCTAGCAATAAACGAGAGAGAGAGATACAAGAGCATGGAGAGGACAGGGAAGTTTATCAAGATCACGTGCACATGATGTGGCTTAGTTCTCATAGTGAAAAGGCCCAAAGAAAAAAGCAACTTGCGTGCTATTATAAAGAACTTCAATAAGGACGGGTTGGCCTATAGTTTCCACTCCATCCGTGTGCTTGCGTGGGTTCTGACATCGAGTGGCAACCTCTGTCATCGGCATAGATGACACAAAAAGGGAGAGAAGAGACTGGTATAGAGCCACTCCTATCGTAAAAAGCAGCCCAACAGGCAAGATTATGGGTGGCTAAATTTTCCATTACAGATACATAGTTCACACGCCATGATATAGCCGAACTGAGCAAAGTCCTGATATCAGCGATTACATTGGCAATAGCTTGAGAGGGGGGAGTTTTCCAGTGCTGCAGCGGCTGGATTACTGCTGGATCATTGCCTTCCACTATGATCTTAGTGAAACCATATTCAATTGCAGTAGAAACAGCCAAGAAAGCAGCCTTAGCTTCTCCAACAATGAGGTCGCAAGTAGGTAGTCTCTCAGTCCAAGCAAGAAGAAACCTCCCTTCATTGTCCCGGCAAGTCATGGCTAGCATAGCAAAATCTAGGCAGACTGCCACATCGAAGTTCACCTTGACTTTATTTCCAGGGGGAGGGACCCACTTTGCGCCACGAAACTCGCTTTCTTTCCTGAAATCCCACACTTTCAAGAAACGTCCATAATTCACATTCAGGGCACGAGCAAAAGCAGAGGGTTGACCCTCCTCTCCACTGGCCACTAACCAGTTCCGGAGCCCCCAAAGATGGACAATGAACATAACTACATAAGCAAGGAACTTTTTAGCTTCATCACCATTGATCCCAAGCGTGTTGCTTGGATTGACAACTATTCGAATCCAGTCTGCTAATCTAGTATTCTCTAAGGCTGAAATGCGCAGGGGCCATGCAGAGTTCAACCATGCCGCTTGGGTAAATTGACAGGAAAGAAGGAGATGCTCTAAAGACTCTTTCACTTGATGGCAGAATGGACAAGGAGATTCAGGAACAAGGTATCGAGTCTTAGCAACCATTTTGGTCGGTAGAACTCCACATGCCACCCTCCATAGCAGCAACTGGAGTCTCCGAGGGAAGTTCACTTCCATGATAGCTTTCCACTCGTTGGGTTTTAGGGGCCCTGGAAAGGAAATCTGACCATGTATATCTAGCGTGGATTTGATGAAGAAGTTTCCTTTGACATTTGGAATCCATGTAATCGTGTCTTCTGCCAATTGAGAGCTTTGGGTAGGCATCCAGTTGGCTAGAAAGAAGGTAGCCACGTAGAAATCACAAAGAAGACTTATTCAGACATTATTGACGGCAGAAACTTGACACTAAAGGAACAACATAAAAGCTAATTAATTAATCTGGCCCAAGAGTCCACAAGTTAGTTATATCATAAAGAGTAAGAAGATGGTAATGAAGAGTAGGCATCCAGGATTCCCGCATCAGTTCACTATGTTGATAAGACCATACATAGCCATAGTTTAACAGCCAAATAGTCAGATAATTGTTCATGGACCGATGTCTGTTTTCAAGCATTGGGGACACAATTACGAGGAGGAGGTGGGAAACAGTGGATCCACAAAAAGCACTTGGTTCACTTAGCTGTAGAAAGTTATATCGGCAGACTATCCAAGAAGGAAGGGGGTAAAAACCTATCCAAGAACAACTAGATGTCCGTGAAATGTACAAAATAATTTCCCTATGTTTATTTGGATGAATGATGAAAGTGAATTGCTAACTGATCTAAGACCATGCCACTAATATGGCCAGAGGGAGACAAAGTTTCTCTCTTAGATTATAATAAGCTAACATTTAATGCAAACAGTTGAGCTAGTTTATTGGCTTTCTCCAACTGACTACGAAGACAGAATGGAGAAACGAGTTTGCATTTATGCATTTATATAGCAAATGATAGAAAGAGCAATGTGACTATTCGGAAAGGGTCTAAAGTGACTATCCATTTTTTCTGATAAACGAGAGGGAAATAAAAAGTTTAGCACCATGCAACAGTGATATCTGAATATATTCTTGCTAACAAACAATCATAAACAGCATGAGTAGTAGAACGGTGAACTGACCTACAGATGAGGGGATGAACCACGTGTCCCATCCAAAGGGGCAACGGCGATCAGGTACATGTAAGACTAGTGTAATTACGTGTTGAGTAGCTCCACTCTCCAAGTTGAATCTGCATAATTCGTAACCCTTCTTCGTGTTGGTGCCCCCTTTCACTGTGAAACCATCAAGATAATAGATGCAGTTTTCCCTGCAACCTGGGACTTCAGAAGCCAATAGGGACACAGAATAATTTTGACTCAAGAACAGTGCATAATTGCCCAAGTTGTTCACCTTCACCAATCTTCGCTCTACCTCATCCAATTCAAAGACATGGAACCAAAGAGCTCTGTTCTTATATTCCATGTGGAGAGGTCCTCTACCACCATCTTCAGAGTCATAAATAACAGAATGGTCACTATCAAGCAGTGCCTCATAAAAGTTCTCCTCTTCTTCCTCAGCTAAGTTGACCACATTATCCATTGGCGCGCAAACCATTAGCAAGGCTCCTCTTAGTTCAACCAAATATCTGCGACGAGGTCCAGATACTGATTCAGGCTGAACAATGACCAAATTCTCAGGGGAACATAAGTCACATATGATCACTCTTCCAGTGAAATCCACTGCATACAGTTGCTCTTTGTGAATGAGAATGTCAACATATCTCGTTGGTTGGTCTTGGAGCACAGTCCATGATTTATCATGTACCTTACAAAAAGCCAGTCTATTTGCTCTTAAATCATAGCACAGTGCTGCCCAAGAATTCTGGTTTACCAAAGTAGGATCACCTGACAAGGCAATACAGTGGACGAAGAAATTCTTCATGATATCCATGTCTATAGTGTGGTGCTCCCCCATCAAATCTTCATAGAGGTATTCCTCACCCTTTTCGTGAAACTCAAGAACCTCTGGCAATCTCGTCAAGTTCGGAAGAAGAATTTTCTCTTCAGTGAGTGGATTAAAGAGTAAAATTTCAGGGGTTCCATCTAGCAATGCCAACCAACCATAAGAGGAACCACAGCATCTTTTACCAAGAAATTCTGGTGAGCTGAATCGGTAGAACTTGTTCTCCGAAATGCTGACAAAAGTTCTTGCGTCAGTGTCCTGATTACAAGGGTGTAGTAGCCATGGCATTTGACGAGGTACCCTTTGTTGGTGATGTCGATGCATTTATAGAAAATAAGCAATAGATGTCAAACAATGAACTTATGGGCTCGATGGGACTACTTAACTGTACATTACTAACAGCCACACCTCAATGTGGATATTGTTACTGGCTAAAACAGATGAGGACACTGTTATGCAACGACTGATGCAAATTATTGTCAAGAAAAAGCATTTGAAGCGCTAAATAGGTTTGTTCAAATATCAATCATGGGAACGAAAATTCTATTTTCTAAATATTTGACCCCTCGAGTTATTAATATTGACATCCTTGCACTTGAAATGATATTAGTATGACTTCTACCAGGAAGAAAGAATTAGCATGACCATCTAGACGATATTCATGTAAGATTGTGCGACCTGACAGTTACATTCCTGCCTTGCTGCCAGACATTATCGCCCTGGGAAAGACTTTGAATCAAGAGCTTGCACATTTTTCATCTTCACGTTGTTTGGCAAAATTCAAGTATGTGATCTCATGTAAAAAACATTCTAGTAAGAAATTTATGTTCAGATGAAACTGTGTCATTGTTCCCTCATAGAATAATACTTTGAAGATATAAAATTGCAGAAGCTGTAAGACTAAAATATAGTATGCAAGCAGAGTTGAAGGAACTCCATGTTTCTGCCAGAATGATTGATATATTCCGTCATAGAATAATGAAGATATCATACCTCGGGGGAGGTCTGATGCTTGCCCAACTTCGACAGACCGCTCGAAATCGGACATGATCATCCAGTCCGGTTAGCTGATCCGAGATCATCTCCAGAAGTTCTTTGGGCAACTGCGGCCAATCGGCCTCCGCGGCCATCCTGAGCTGATCAAAGCACTGCTCCTGCGTCCTGCAGGTTATCTCCTCTTCACACGCATCTGAAGCGACGAATCAACAAACAGGTGAAATGCATCCACTCTGTTTGCAAAATGAATAAAGACCCCGCCGAGTTACATCCATTGCCGTGTACTTTCACATCAAATCTGGACATTGAAGAGTGATCAGATGTTGTTCGCTCGATGGAAAAGAGACGCCGCTGCCGGCGGCAACTGGGCACTGGTTGGTTTCTTGAACTGCGTGGCCCGGTGAATTAGGTTGAGGTTGCCTTCCCTAATAAGGGGAGCGTGGGTCAATGAAGAAATTATAATGAAAGACTTTTCGTGCTGGAAGGGAAATGGAATCTTGGGTCTTGGGTTTTGCTCTTTTGTGTGTCGGGTTCACTTGTCTGAATCCGACGGTTTCTGCTTTTGCGGAGTCAAGATTCAAATGTGGGTTTCCACGAGAGAATCAAGAAGATCGTGTAAAGACGCAGACATTTCCCAATCATTCGTTTTCACATGTTTTGGAGATGTCGTTGGCCGGTCAATCAGAAGTTGGATCCTTCACACGGAGAGAGAGAGAGAGAGAGAGAGAGAGAGAGAGAGAGAGAGAGACTTTGCAAAAAGGTCATGACTTTTTCTACTCTTGTAACTTTAATGGCATGCTAAATCCATGGGACTCTGTCTCATTGTGCGTGTATGCGTGTCAGAGAGAGAGAAACAGAGAGGAATATGGCCCCGAAGATACGCCTACGCCTCCCCTGTTTATCATTCGCTTTGTTGACTTGGCCTTCTTCTCAAGGGACCCATCAATGATCTCAGAGTTCGAAGAAATCAGCATTACCATTCTTGCTGCCGTCAGCAGTAGCTTTCAGCTGGCAGTCGCATGCTTCTCTAGATTCAGATTTTCGCTGAAGCTCTCATAGCTTACAGCTCGGTTTGTTGTGTGCAATACTTATGCAGTCGACCTGTTTGTTGATTCGTTTAGCAGAGGAGGAACCGGCCACACGGAGGACTGGGCTTTGAGCCTTTGACTGCACCCTGCCCTGGATGAGAATGGATCCCAATTGGTCTCGGCTGCCGAAAGAACTTCTCGGCTCGGAGACCAAGTCCAGTTTCGAGCTGTCGGCAAAAAGTTGGAGAAGCATTAGGCATCTGACAAGGTGTCGAGTCTTGGTTTTTCAATGTGAGCTTTTTATGGATTTCTTTTGCTATTTGAACATTATTCATTCATGTTGCAATGTCATGGGGGAACTAAAAGTTGTACATATTTCTAACATGTTAACAGAAATATTTCTTGGTGTCTATCAGGTAGCTAGCTATTTACGATTGATGGTTTTGTCAATCCTGCAGAGTTGAGCTGATAAAATTCCTTGTTTACGTCTCCATTTGGTTTATCTATCCACATACATGTGTTGTTTCTATCTCAAGTTACCTTGTCAAATTCCATGGATACTCCAGCCTTATAATCAAAATACCGATGCGTAAACTTCCGTTAGCATTTCTCAGAACCTATTCTACAAGTTCAGCTCACGGAAATTGCTTGGTGAACAATGCTGCGGTTCCTCTTATGATTGGTCGGCAGTGGTGGATAGAAGACCCAAGATTTTGCTTTTCAATCTACTTGCCGATAAGAAAATTCTCCCGAAGTTGACAGAGTTGTCAGACATTCTAGATTTTCAAGAAAACCATGAGGATCAGGCCTGTCGGGACTTTAGGGGTTCCAGCACTGGCGCATTGTAGACACAGAATTAGGTCTTCTTTGTTAACCATGTCATCTTTTGGAAAAATCCTACTTTGGGTGTCCAGAACGTTGGGCAGTGTTGTGCTAGAAAATAACGGTAAGCAGACTGTCATTTTGTAAATTAAAGATGAATTATAGTCTGTGATTCAAGATCGTCCGTCCAGATACATCTACTAACTCTTTTACAGCGGGCAATTCTATGCCGTGGATTCCACAGGAAGGGTGATAATTTGTAACCTAGAAATCCCTCAAAAGTTGGCTGTCATTTGGCTAGAAGGATTATCTGGAGTTCACTGGTTGTTCTTGGTAAAGTTCAAAGGATCGTTGTTAGTAGTCCTTGTGGGAGGAGATGCAACGGATGGCTTGAGCGAGGAAGAAGATGAGAAATTTTATGAGGCATAGTTGCTAGGAAGGTATGATAGAATTTAGACACAGAAGAACGTAATGAAGAAGTTCCACGCCAGGTATATGATAACAGAGCACCTTGGATCGATGTCTTTGCACTAAATGAGGTGGAGAGGAGACTTGTCAAGTTGGATGATTTAGGAGATTAGTAGTTGCTCTCGAGTCTAAATTACTACACATCATTGTTGGCTTCAAAGATTCCACGTTCTGGTGGAAACTGCATATGTTTTCTTAATGACTTCAGAGTGAAAAAAGGAATTTCCATGAATTGTGCGCATTCAACTTGAAGAGAGGAGCTGTTTGATGGGTGCTTTCACTTGTCTTGCGTGTCTCTGATCCTAGTTACGTATTTTGCAGAATGCTTGGTTTATCCCTCATGCTTAGGTGAGCTCATTCTTCTACCATCATAGCCATTACGTACATGTACTACAACTAGTCTAATGAAAAAAGGAAAGTTTCAGACCAGAAGGATTTCGATTCTGTTGGGGATTGCTCTCTACAACTTTGTGGAGGCTCACACTGTCTCCTTCCTTAGATTTTTCTTCTGTAAAGCTTTTGCAGTCCTGAAGTCTTGATCCCCTGTATCATGTCCACACTCTAGAAGAGACTTTGCTGCCACTGCAACGATTGCCTAGTGGCATGCTTGTTCCTTGTAATATCTCTCTACCTTCCCCTTACTTCCTGGGGCTTACGAAATGTAATCCTTGCTTACTTAATGTTCAGATTCATGATGACATAAGTTTCTTCCATTTATTAAGGGCTACCCGCAATTTACCTATCGAAGCTAATATCTTAAATCTCGTGATCTGGATATTCAACTACTTTGACCATCTATCTTGATCCAGTAATTAAGGTAAGTCGTTAAATCTTTGCCATGTTCTCTTAGTTAAGTATTTGCTCTTGATGTATGTGGTGGCTTGTGTGTACTATATTGCCGACTTCATTCAGTATATCAATAAGTTTTCAGCTAACTAGATGCCCAGTGCAAGCTATCAATCAGCCCCGGAAGAGTCGCTTATATAGATTCCGAATGCAAAAGGAAACTTCTCTGTGAAATCAGGACCTCTGCTGGTTATGCTGATGCTGAACAAAATTTGCTTCTGGGGGCCTTTAAAACCTGCGGACTAAGGACTGGGATGCTATCAAGGAAGCAAACTTGCCTGCGAGAATATAGTTTGTATCATGGAGGGTTGTGTGCGGAGTTGTACCGACAAAATGGGTTGCTAGGAGGCATCACCTCATCCCCCAGTCACCTTTTCCCCTTTGCAATCGAGGGAAAGAATCATTAGAGCACTCTCTCTCTTTTGTCAGTTTACGCAAGTGGTTTGCCTGGACTGAGTGTGGCCTCTGCGCATGTCAACCCTGAAAGACCTTCCAATAGCGGATTTGATTTGCATCATCATCACACCTGGCCAAACTCTAGGGCTTCTTGGTATTGACACTAAAGGTTCCTTCATTTTGCAGCTATGTTAATTGACCAGCTTTGGTTGCTTTGGGACGAGATAGTAACTCGAGTGTGGCAGCTCATGTTGGGATTTTGGTACCAAAATCCCATAGAATTGAATGAGAAGTGTGTGGGTGAAAGTGTCCCACATAGGGTAAAAGAGAGATGGGAGATGGGTTCAACTAGTTGAGCCTCACAAATAGGTTTGGGCCCTAAGGGGTACCCCACTTTTGTGGAAGAGAGAGGACCTACGTCAAGCTAGGTCGGTCCGCCGCCGCAGCCGGCCGGCTCGATTCTCCATCGGTTTTTTATTTTTTCCGAACAAACACCGAAAAGTTTAGTTCGGAAAAGATATCACTTCGTGGCATTCATTTTTTCCCTACGCATATTCACTTCATCATTGTCATTTGGTGCGATTGTTCTGCAAAATTGCGTTCGTTGGAGTCCTCCGAATACGTACCGCTTCGGAGGAACGAGATTCGTTCTATCCTGGGAGACGATTGTCCAATATCCTCGGGTACTGATTGAGGGCACGACGTTAATTCGTTGGGCTCGGATCAACATTCTGCTTATTTGGTTGTACTGCTTTCAGGTTAGTTTTCGTAGCGTTTGATTTTAATTTCTGATATACGAACTTAGCCGAACAACGGCTCATCCATTGAATTTTGCTCACAGACTCAATGAAATGTATTGATATAACTTAAAGGAGTGGTATATTGAAGACGCAAACATCGTACATGCTCCTAAATGGTTCCCCCCTCCAGCTGGTAAAGTTAAGGTTAACTTTGACATGGCTATTGGTTTCGGTTTGCTATCCTTGCCACGACTTGCGGGACACTGAAAGGAAATTTGGTTTATAGCTCAGACAGAGACTTCCACTTTGTGACCTCCCTGTTTGCAGAAGCTATTGCTGCTCTCCTAACGGTTGGTATTGCTGTCAAATCAGGCTTCAGTGAGATCATGTCGGAAGGCTATGCTCCGGTTATAGTATGACCACTGTGGCAGTGAAATATTCCCTCCATTTGGATGATTACGGACATACTTGCTGATGTCAAGACTTTGCTCACTTCAGCGGAGTTGTGGTGTGTGAATTATGTGCTCCTTATGGAAAATATAGCAACCTGGAATCTTACCTGCTGAGCTGCTTTTTATGACAGAAGTGGCCCTATACCAATCTCTTCGCTTCCTGCCCGTGTTATCTATGCCGATGGCTGTACTGGCAACTTAATCTTAGGCTCCATGCAAACATGCCAAAGGGCGAGCTGGACAGAGATCTTGGCCAACTCTTTTTGGTGAAGTTATCCATCTGTTTTTTAGGAATAAAATTGCATGTTTACTGTTGGTCACCATCAAATATATAACCCATCAACTCGGACAAGTGTTGGTCTCAGTCCCACCATTTCCAGCATCCCTTAGATGCAGCATATCTGGGTTCTTAATGCGAGCACTACACTACTACCGCTTTGCATATACTCAATGTGACGGCTGGATTATCCCCCATCGGTTCCGATCAATGGCGGTTTACTTCTGAGCTTCATCTTACCCTTTCACGCGTGCCATCCCTTGGTCACCACAGGGTTATGTTTGTTTGATGTCCATCGATCCCTTCCTCTGTTCATGCCATGATTTTGCGATTGCAATGCCAATGTTCTTTTTGAAATCACAGAAACTAGACTCGTCCCTGCTCTATCGGTTCAGCAAAAGGAAATCACCGGATTGCAAGTAGAATTCTTCCTATTTGGTAGCAAGCTTGTGAATAAAAACTTCTCAGACTACTCAGGCAATTTGACCACGCAATGGAATCCTCCAACCACATTGATCAAGCCAGAGGCCAGCCAAAGAGATGAAGTGTTGGCAAGTCTTGGCATGTTTCAGATCTCGTTACTGCCCTTGCCTGAAGCTTACTGTTTCATCCCACTAGCACTCCATTACTTTGTCGAGAGAGCACCTTGTGGGAAAATATTTGGTTTGGCCTATGAAGATGCTGTCCCTGAACATAGCAGTTTGAGGAAGGAAGTCCACAATCTCTCACGGGCCTCTCTCGTATATCGTCCATCGTTGCTGTTACCTTTTTCGGCTAGTGTCCATAGCCTGATCAGAAATACAAATACTTAGCCTTCATAAAGTCGCAAAATGCCATGGTGAATCCGGATCATGAGCCGATTCCATTTCGTGGCGTCAAATGCGAGACCCATTAAATGAATCTCAATCAACTATCCGGTAGAAATTTGAAAGCTCACCTAGGATGCAGGAAGTCGCATATATGGAATGAAATTGTGCTGGTTGGATTTTTCTTCAATGTAGCCGAAGTTATCGGTCTACTGGTTCACTTTCAGTTGCAACTATTCAAGCACGGACCGAGACTTTTTTGGCTCGGCTAACAAACAGACACGGCACATTTACGATACTTGCACGCAACTTTCTGGACAACTCTTCACAAATCTGTCTGTCGTGAGAATAAAGAAATCATCAGTTCGAGCTCGCAATTCCTGCATCGCACTGTCCAAACACGCGAAATAATAAACAAATCCCAAAGCATGTCACTGCTTCCACCTCTCTCTGCTGCTTGTTCGTCTGTCGTCGCTCTATCATCGTCGGCAGCCAAAAACAATTCCCTCAGATTCCCTTCCCTTTTTCCCATCAAACCCACAAGCCTTTTCTCGCATCAAGCGCCGAAGAGGTTAAAGTTCTCTCCTTTTCCACTCAGGGTAGCTGCTCCTCCGACATCGCCACCTCCGACCTCCGACCCAGACAACAAATTGACGGAGACACATGGAGATCAGTTTCAAGAAGACGAGTTCAGAGCTGAGGAGGAGCTTGGTGACGAGAGCTCGGCCTCCAAGTTCACGTGGAGAGACCATTGGTACCCTGTTTCTTTGATTGAAGACTTGGACCCTGGCTTGCCCACCCCGTTTCAGCTTCTGGGTCGAGACCTCGTGCTCTGGTTTGATAAATCCAATAGTCAGTGGGTCGCTTTTGATGACAAGTGCCCGCATCGCCTCGCTCCGTTATCTGTAATTCTCTTGTTCTTTCTTCTATACTTAGTAAGGGGCGATATCATTATGTGGAAGCTGAGAAATTGAATTCACGGTATTAGATTATAAGTGCGCTTCAGTGAAGAAATATAGTTAATCAGATGCTAAGAGTTCTTCATTTGAGAGGTTTCGTTTTGGTATTCTTCTCAGCTGTCAGATGGCGAACCGTGTGCTTTCTCTCATCTTTAACTTCCAAGCTAAAAGGGAAAGTAAATGTTGTGGAATTTGAGATATAGTGGTCTTGGTTTACGGATGCTTTACCCAAGAATCCTTAAGAATTGCCTTTTTTATGGTCATATTTGTGATGGGTTGATCTGATTTTGCTTATAGGAAGGGCGGATTGATGAAGATGGGAATCTGCAGTGCTCGTACCATGGGTGGTCCTTTGACGGTTGCGGGTCGTGTACTCGGATTCCCCAGGCTGCTTCAGAAGGTCCTGAGGCACGCGCTGTTCGATCTCCGAGAGCATGTGTGACAAGGTTCCCCACGATGATTTCTCAAGGCCTCCTCTTTGTTTGGCCTGATGAAAATGGTTGGGAAAGAGCCAATGCCACCAAACCTCCCATGTAATCAATCTTTTTGGTGGATGTTTCTTTTTCTATATTTGATTTGCTTATGAATTCGTTGATGTTGTGTACGCTGCTTATTTCAACATTATGTGATGGAAATAGCAGTGCTCGGCAAAGAATCTTATGAGTTCTTTGCAATATTAAAATTCAGGTTGCCTGAGGACTTCGATAAGCCTGAATTCTCGACTGTGACAATTCAGCGTGATCTGTTTTATGGCTATGATACACTCATGGAGAATGTTTCAGATCCCTCTCACATTGATTTTGCTCATCATAAGGTATAGTCCTCAATTATGATATCGTTCCTCTGGTCATTTGCTTCAACTGATGAGAAAAAGTACAGCAGCTCAGAATGCAATTCAGGTGATGGAGATCAAGCATTAGCACGATTGACCACTATATGACATTCTTATTTGTCCTTGAATTAGCAATTTGACATCCGTTTCGTGGTTAACATACCAACTAACATTGTGAATGAGTGTGTTTTACGATATGTCGACAATAAAAATCCTGCAAGCTGCCTGTTGTCCCGTCATTTCTTTGACAGAAATTTTGCATTTAAGAAAGCAATAAACTGTAAAATGCATAAGTCGACCGTAATCTACTTTTGTCGAGACTAAATGCTCTCTGCATGTATCATCCTTGCTGGCTAATGCATTCTTTTCTAGGAAAAAGGTTTTCATCTTAGCTTACATTGGGAAGTCATGTGACAGGTCACAGGAAGGAGAGACAGAGCCAAACCTTTGCCATTCAAAATGGAGTCTAGTGGGCCTTGGGGTTTTGCTGGATCTAGTGATGATAACCCAAGAATCAGTGCTAAGTTCGTGGCTCCTTGTTATTATATCAACAAGTACGTCTCCATCTTATCTACCTTTGCCTCTTGTTGAACTTAATACCAGCTCACGCTTAGACTGTGACCACTGCTTTCTTCACTGCTGTTTTAACCTTGAATAGGCTGCAGTTTCTGGGTCCCTGAAAATATCTGACATGATACCACTGATAGTTAATTTGTATGTTAACTACTCATTTCACAAGTAGGCTCTGTTGAAAATATCAAAGCTTGTCTACAAGCAACCGTATTTATTTGATCCATTCTCGTTCTACTTGTGGCTACGGGCATTCCAGCCTCATTTCCGCCATTATCTACTTTCATGTCGAATTGTTGAGCTTTCCGGATACATTTTCTTTCCATTAGCTCAGATTTTTTGTCTTTTTACTCCAGGATAGAGATAGACACAAAACTTCCTATTGTTGGTGATAAAAAATGGGTTATATGGATCTGCTCCTTCAACGTACCGATGGCCCCTGGGAAGACTCGTTCAATCGTTTGCAGTGCTCGAAACTTCTTTCAGTTCACAATGCCAGGGCCGGCTTGGTGGCAGGTGAGACCATTTCTCCTTTTCTTGGTGCTATTGTGTACTCAAGGGGTTCACAGGGACTCCATTACCCTTTTATTCTTTCCCTAAAGAGTTCAAATTAAGGTCTCTAATAGTATTGCTTTGTAAAATTATGGGTCGTTGCTCATAGCAACATTGCAGAAGTTATTGTGATTTAGAGGCTTGACCTTCAGTGCTTGTGATTCACATACATACCTGTTCGTAACAGCATAACTAACATGACATGTTTCCTGTGGTTATTTGCTAGGTGATCCCGAGGTGGCATGAGCACTGGACTTCAAACAAAGTGTACGATGGCGATATGATTGTCCTTCAGGGACAGGAGAAAATATTCCTCTCCATGTCAATGGAGGGTCAGGAAGATGTAAACAAGAAATACTCAAAGATCACATTTACCCCAACGCAAGCCGATCGTTTTGTCCTGGCATTCCGCAATTGGCTAAGACGGCACGGGAACAGCCAACCCGACTGGTTCGGCTCGAGCGGTCAACAGCCTTTGCCATCCACTGTCTTGTCAAAACGTCAGGTGCAGGGACTTGCAAATTAAACCATTCTGTACTTCTGTGAATGCTGGGAAGCTTTGTCAAGAATCAGTAGATCTTGAATACAATAGAATGTGATTTCTAATGGAAGAATCAGAGTTTCAAAAGGTCCTCTTCTGATCCAATCTCGTTTTTTTTTTTATTTGCTCCGCAGATGCTTGATCGGTTCGAGCAACATACTCTCAAGTGCTCGTCGTGCAGAAAAGCTTACGAAGCATTTCGGATGTGGCAGAAACTTCTCATAGGCGCCACCATCTTCTTCTGCGCAACAGTGGGCATCCCATCAGACATGCAGCCGCGAATCGTCCTTGCGGGTATGGCCATTTTGTGTTCGGGAATTGCTTATGCCTTGCACGAACTGCAGAAGAACTTCGTTTTCGTAGATTATGTACATGCCGATATTGATTAGTGGCGCTATCTATTTCATTGAGATTTCTTCACACAGGCATAGACTTTGTATGCACCAACTTGTACCAATACAGACAGAAACACCCCCACTTGAACTGGCTCCCATAGATGACTTATCTCTTGTTTCCTCATTTCCACTGTGGGAATGAAGAATCTGAGAACGAGGCTTTTGCAAGTCTCTGCTTATGTAAAGTTTGAATCTTTAAGCGTTAACCATGAACCCTGTTGGATAATTTATTCATGAAATGGTAAGGCAAAAAATTAACCCACAAAATCCAAACGGTTCTGATAAGCGCAACACAAAATGAATTCAAAATTGGAACTTCGCATCAAAGAAGTAATAGCGTAAAAATTCAGATTGAGAACGATAAAAGTTTTCAAACTTTAGCAGTTGCCACAAAGATTCCATCTGATTTCGCCCAAGAAGAAAAAATCACAAAATCCAAAGAGAAAATGCACATAGATGAATCCTAACCAAACTACCACCCCTACCCTAGCCCTTTACATCTCGAATCGAAACCCAAATCCACCACCCCCCAAAAGGAGGAACGCTCCCAATCTCCACCCCAACTCCCCCTTGAAAAACCTAAGAGCTAGTGAACTTGGTGACGGCCTTGGTGCCCTCGGAGACGGCGTGCTTGGCCAGCTCGCCGGGGAGGACGAGGCGGACGGCGGTCTGGATCTCCCGGGAGGTGATGGTGGGCTTCTTGTTGTAGCGGGCGAGGCGGGAGGCCTCCTGGGCGAGCTTCTCGAAGATGTCGTTGATGAAGCTGTTCATGATGCCCATGGCCTTGCTGGAGATGCCGATGTCCGGGTGCACCTGCTTCAGCACCTTGAAGATGTAGATCTTGTACGTCTCCACGCCCCGCTTCGCCTTCTTCTTCCTCTTGTCCGCCCCCACGCCCTCCTTCGGCAGCTTCTTCTCCGCCCGCGGCTTCTTCTCCGCGGGCCCCTTCTCCGCCTTCTTGTCGTCGGCCGGCTTCTTCTCCGCCGGCTTCTTCTCCGCCTTCGGCGCCATCGCCGATCGACTCTAGAGAGAGAGAGAGAGAGAGAGAGAGAGAGAGAGAGAGGGGGATAAGCTTTGGCTTTGATTACGCGACGGGGATGAAGACGAGGAGGAGGAGGATGAGAGGTTTTCGCTTTTATATAGGGCCCGGGGATCGATCCGATTGGTCGGTTCGGGGAGCGGCGGATCGATGACGTGGACGATCCGGATGCGTTGGGGCGGAGGGAATGGGCGGTGGCGATTGTTTCGGGGGGGGGGGCTTCGTTTCGCGGAATCGACGGTTTCCAGTTTGTCGGTTTTTGAAATTTTTATTTTTGATTCCGTTTTCTTTTTTTTCTTTTTCCCCCGTTCGGTTTTGGCGGCAGCGCGAAGCTGGGGAAAAGTTTTGAAGGGGCTGTGGAAAAGCGGGCGGGTGAAGGTCCAGTAACATGCCGCCACGTGGAATGGGCCCGAATTGGGCCTTGCGGATGTGGGCCTGGGGGGGTTGCTGTATTGCGCCTCGAATTCCTCGTCTCCTTGTTCTAAAGACTCGATCCACAAAATTTGCTTTTTTTATTGTTTCGCTCTTTCCCAAAATTTTAAAAAAATCGAGAAGACATCTAACTTTACAATCTAGATACAAATCTACAAGACAACCTATGTGATATATATGTTGGGAAACAACGAATGTCATGCATTTAAAAAATTAACTCGAAAAAAATAAATTCGTGTTGTGAAATAAATTAGGATTATCGCTGGTTTCTCGAGTGTGGAATTAATGCTCGGTTGGGTTGAAACAAGCTTTGCAAATCGACCAAGTGCACACGTGATATGCATGAGTCGTCCCGATATTAAAAGGCCAAGCCATAACAGGCATCCTAGACATATGTTCAACATACTTAAGGAATTTTCAATTTTCCAGAACATTGGTTATACATGATACGAGAGAACACGGTACATTGAGAACTGTAAACTTTTCTTGATCGGTTTGCTTAACGCCGTTAACAAGTGCTATGGGGCATCATGAGGGCACTAATAGATCGTGCACTCGCTCATATGTAGAGTTGCAAGCAGTTTTTAAGTTTATTAAAAAGGATCTTGTTAACGAGCGCCTCTGAAATACGAGTTAACTAAATGTAAAATACAACACTTTCTAGGCCACTTTGAGAAGTAAAGAATCACGCAATTAAACAAAGTCATCTGCTTCGAATAATAAATTCTCTATCTCCAAAGTACATTGAAGAATGCTTAACAAGTGCCGAGAGACGCTCCTTTACATCTTCCTTATTAAAACTTAAAAGTGAAGAAAGTACGGCAGTTTCAAAAATACGAAAAAAGGGTTGCGAAAACATCGATCTCGGCATTTGTTTAATAATACCTTAGTTTGTAACCGTGTATTGCTAAATCAAAGAATCAATCGTACTTACACAAAAGCAACCATGCTACTAGACGTACATGGTATTCATGCATCCAAAATCTTCTTCGTCTTCCTACGACCAGAAACACCCATGTATATCGCAAGAAAGAAAAACTTCTTGAGCAAATGCCATCACTAGTTCATGTAGCGCTCGCATAGCGCTTGTCGCCCCTCCCCGCTTCTCTCAACTCCACAATAGGAGAAGCGCGAAAGTAGTTGTCAAAGATTGAGTCAAAGCCCGTATATCATTTTTGCCTGATAACTCTTAAGTAAGCTGTTAGAAGGTTCAATACAAAAACTTAAGTTTATAGATGGCGTGAGACTACATGAATATAAAAAGTATATTCCATTGTTAAGCAATACGAGACGATATTTTAATACCCTCTCACTTGTAAGTCGAATTAAGAGCGGCACGTGAAATTTGACTGATGGCGGTGAAGTACTTACACGAAAGGGATAATACTGGGTCTGATACCATGTAAGGAAAGTCCAACCCAATTTCCAACATCGGCAATCCACATAAGAAGAAAAGCATTATGTTCAGTGAACTTATTCGGTGGTACGACGTATTGTCTACTTAAACTTTCAAGCCTCACGTTTGACTTATCAAATATGCAGCGCTCACGTGAGATCCATCAAATTCAATTACTCGGATCACTCCATCCATCGTATACCGAGTCTATGCAAGTTTCTGATCAACACCCCATGTGTGTGCGTGTACACCACTCATTGCTTGGATGAATAACAACATCATGCAAGCACGCTCCCCTCTCTAATGAAAACTAAAACGGGATTGAATATACATGTAAATCAGTTCTACAGAGGTACTATGGATCCAATGCAACACACTGGTGCAAAATTCTAGGATACCGTCGAACCTAGAGCAACCTTGGTGAGTATCATATCAATATCCCTAGTCAACAAGAACAGGAAAAAAGAAAACGATTCTCCAGTTCACAAGGGTAAATACGTATTCAGTGAAGGTATCGTAAGACAGCAAAGCAGGTCGGATCTGCCCGTGCTAGCGAAACTCTTCACGCTAGATACTGATTACTTCACCCCCTAATAGCACAATATATGAAAGTCAGATATGGCAAAACCATCTATCTTTTGGAACTGTGTATAGCTGAAACACCTGACAGCAGTATGTACACAAGCTACAGAAGAAGCTACGAAAAGGGAAAAGGGCAAAAGAAAGAGAAGGAAAAAAATAAACTGATGATCATCAAGAACACATGTATAGAACCACCTGTGGCTACCTATCATCTATCTGCATCGACGTCGTTGTGGCGGATTGGCCCTCGACTTTCCCCAGCTTCGTCAAGTTGATCAAGGGCGTGTGCCCCACGAACAAGGCCACGTGACCCATCAACTTGTCTTTCCTAGAGAAGGTAGTGCCGCACGAGCATTGCCACTTCAGATCCCCGCAGTGCTTCTCATGAGTCCTCAGATCAGACAGCACGGAGAACTGCTTCCTATTGCACCTCTTGCACACGTACATCTTCGGGCAGTGGCTCCGCTTGTAGTGATTCTTGACGCAGATCATTGACTTGAGCGGCTGGAACTTGGCGTGCTTCTGGTTCCACCGGCAGCCCTCGTGTGGGCACGAGTACTTCCTCGGCGCTTTCATCAGACACTCCTTGTCATCCGCACCACTCGAACTGTTGTTCCCGCTGCTGTTCTTTAAGGGGTTGCTAAGAGCGGAGCTGGTCTTGTACTCGTCGCCGTGAGCCCTCATGTGCATCCTCAGGTTCGCATCCCGCTTGAACCCTTTCCCGCAGATTTGGCAGTAGTGAGTGTACTTGGCCAAAATCTCCGAGGCATCGAGCTCGATGATGTCGCAATTGCTACTACCGCTCTTCAGAGATGGCCCTTGCGACGAGCCTTCGTTATGACCGCGTTGACCAACGCATGGCCGGGGCACTGCTTGATCCCTCCCATTTTGACCAGCCCTAGAACTATTGTTACTATTGCTATTGCCACTATTGTTATTTCCCATAGCAGGCGAGCTAACGTAGCTATTATCAGCGAACCAGTCAAAGGTTTGATCAGAAGCATAAATACCGGTTGGCTGAGAGTTGTGATGAGACAATAGCTCCCCGTGGCTGACAGGTTTGACTCGGTGTTGCGGTTGCTGCTGCTGCTGCTGAATCAGTTCTCGATGGGAGGTTGTGTTGTCTGCCGAAGAAGTGGAGGCGTTGCTCATCTGTTGGCAGGTGAACATCATGGAAGAGGCGGCAACGATGAGCTCTTGGATCAAAGTGACCATGCTCGAGATGGCCATCGAGGTCGTTGCCGTCGATTGGCCGGCAATTTGGGGGGGAGACACGAGGACGGAGATGAGGGACTGGACTTGGTGGACCTTCTCTTTGAGGAGCGAGAGGTTGTAAAGAAGAGAGTTGGAGTGCGTATCCGCAGGCGAGGTTGATGAAGCCGTGTTGTTGTTGTCCATGGAGGAGTTCGTCACGCCGCTAATGTCTTCATGACCGGTCATGCCGTACATCTGAAGCCCTTGCGACGCGCTCGGGAAGCAAGAACTCGCGCCCGATGGAAGAGGAATCATCTCTTTCTCTCTCTCCCTCCTTCTCTCAATCTATGTGAGAAGCGAGAATTGGAACGTTTTGGATCTTCCTTTCTCGACAAAGAAAGATTGCTGTTGAACGAGAGTGTATATATATAAAAGGGGAAGCATCATGAGATCCTGATCCTTTTCTTTGATGTGCAAACAAAATGTGTATAATAGTCGAGAGAGATAGAGGGAGAGGGAGAGAGAGCTGCAAGTCAACTTTGAGAGGGGTTTGCAACATCCCCGGATAGAGCCTGCCTCAAGTGTTACCAATCTTGCATTGGGACAAGCTCTCTTTCTTAGTACTTTCTTTGTGTTTCTTAGTATACTAAGGAACATGATTAAAGAATTTTCGAGATAGAGAGAGACAGAGAGAGGTTGGCATGTGTATTAAATAACACCAAACATCCAATGGCTTTCCATGACTCTGCCTTTCATAATATATCTTTTTTCTTACACGTTGCGAAGGTTTTTAAAGATATGTTCTAGACCTCTCTCTCCATTCTTATCTCTCTCTCTCTCTTTTTAAAGACCAGGAAGAGGGGTCACTTTCTGGCGTCAACCTTTGCCGTGATTTGAATATTTCAACTAGGCATACGCCATACGAATGACTATCTTGCACCCTTTCGCGTGTAATTTGTAACTCTTGATCAATATCACAAGGACCCCGGCTGCCTATATGGCTGTAGCTCATATATGGTTGGAAATTATCCAGCGACTACATGTTGTCTGGGAAAAGATATTGATCACCAGGCCTAAAGAATTGAGCAAAGAACTTTGTCATTGGTCGGCCGACAGTTTCTTGGCTGATAAATGGCCCGTGCGGCGCCTAATGAGTCGAGAATACCAGGTCAGCCTTCCGTCAATAAATCATTTCTAAGGACGGCATATCAAATCACATCCTCAAATCGAATCTACCACGCTCAATTTAACTCGGGTATCTAGTCTTTCGAGCGAGATATATAAGTCACCTCAGTACAACAATAGGTTTCAACTTGCCATGACTTTAATTATCAAGAGAGCGGCATCGGCATCTGACCAATTTGTGCACCGGAGGCCGACCCACTTTCAAATATACTCTAAGATGGTATTCGTTCCACTCTAGGATTCCTAGCGCAAACACCCTAACATCATTCACTCTTTACCCCGATGCCACAAAACTCCACTCTTTAGCCCACAAGGAATTGGACCTTGACACATGGATATTGTGTGATGAATAACAGTGATGTGCATGCGAAGGAAAGTTTTTAGATGTCACTCTAGAGCCCATCAATCTTATGATACAACTCACACTCTAATTTCTTCGACGTATTTGTTTTTGTGGCTGGGCAACAGAAGGTGGGGAGGTTACCATAAGGGAGCACAAGTTTGAGCACGTCAACAAACTCAAGTGACTTACTTTCACTGAAAAGTTTAAGCCATCAACGCCAATTCTCCGATGTGAGACGTTCTCTGACACAACTCACATGTGTGTCTCAGCAATCTTCCCTTCACTAATGAACTCAATGTTAGGTAATGGCCCTCCTTAATTCAAGTTATCTTCTGCATCAACATGCCTCAACTTGAATATCTACTTTTTTGTCTTGTGAGGACCGCAACAACAACATCGCCCAGACTGCAACAACAATGTCCTCCTTCATCCCTGATTTTTTTCTCCAGACCCAAACATGAAGGCTGCCGTTGGGATCGGGTTGCTACATCACTACACCCACATTTACCCCATGTCTCTTTCCTCAGACCGAACCAGAAAGGTTTCTAGGAAACGGCATTTGTCATGAGATTCCTTACTTGAGATATTTACCAAAAATCGATACATATTGGGAGATTGTAAAGAGAGAACCTAAATCCGAGCCCGTTAACATACCCAATCGGACCAACCTTCACTTAAAAACTTAAGCCAATGAATTATGGACAAATTAGGATATATTAACTATTTTTCCGTTGTGAGACTTATTCTAATACAACACGCACGTGCATCTTAATAAATAGAAAAAAAATGTCATGGGCTAAGGCCACGGTCCCCAAAAGCCCTTAGGAGATCGAGACTCATCGCTTAAAAAGGGTATCCCAACATGCTAATGAGAACTTGTGTGAGTTGAATCAACGACTCTAGTAAGCAAACGAGAGCGTTTGCCACGGACCCATCATCTTAGGGCGAACTTTCGATTATCGCTCCCATGAAGGAATGTGAGAACAATCACGTATAGTTCAAAAGTAACGATTTATGTATCGGCTAACTACCCTTTTCATCGATGATTGAGATAGAACGGACTCCGCGCCGTAGCTTTATTTGGAAAACAAGAGTCACGTGGACAGCAAGAAACCCCTTCAATACATAGCCCAGCGATCACCCACCATCTAAGTAACCCAAAATCGGATTAGCTACCTTCATCTCCTCATATAAATTGGATTCAAGAGGAGCTGTGCACAAAGCAATCAAGATTTCAAGAGGATCATGTCTTGCTCGCTGGCTCATGCACGCGCACGGGCTTGAAGGCTCACCTACTAACCCAAGCTGACCAATTAAGAAAACGAAATCGAATATTATGACCGTGCTCCGTTAATGACAGTACAATCATGCCATTATTCAATCCATGAAGTTGGTACGGAGTTCTCAAAATAAATCACACTTGAACAAATATATAATGACTGTCAACTTGAGGGGATTAGATATGGTTTTATGGTGGCAGTCCTATGGAGCGACGAACTCAAGAGTTTCTTAATCACCCCTTAATTGATAAATTAATCCTTCTGGTCAACTCAAAACAGAGGGGGGAGGGTGCAGATATACCTAAGACTCCAACCTCAGCTTCTTCTTCTCCTTCTACTTCTCCTTCTTCTTTCTTCTCCTTCTTCTTCTCCTTCTTCTTTCTTCTTCTGGTTTTTTTTTTATGGCTTTTCTTACTTCTGTTGATAACAACTTCACTTTCTTTTCTTTCATGGAGAGCAAACGCCATGTGCGGGGTCCAATTGCTTGAATTGAATTCCTTGGTGTAGGGCCACTAGAGCTTGATATAAAATGTGAATGCTAGCTGTTAATTACTTCTTTTTACGTGGATTAAGGCTCGGTAAACCGGTTTAATTGATTGTTTATGTGTCAAGGCGGGTTGAAGACGTATAATTCTATCGTTTCATATCCAAAAGATACGAATTATTTATTAGTATTGATATTATTCCAATAATTATTGGTGTAAGTGTTAAAATAACATGGGTTAAAACAATAACCAATGACTCTAATGAGAGAAAGATTGATAAATTGCTTACATTGAAATTAGTAATTTCATGTAAGAGTTGGTATATTTTAAACGTTGGTAAGAAATGTGAATAAAGGTTGAAAAAAGGATAAGAGAGAACCTTTTTCTTTTAAGAAATCAGAGAATTTGTAACTAAAAAATCAAATGTAATTTAAATGGAGAAAAGATGGTAATAACTCTAATCGAGGACAATAGTTTTGAAAAGAGTTAGCAATTTTAAAAAAGTTGGTAAATTTGGGAAAATGTGGATAAGTAACTTAAATGAGAGTTGACAATACAAAAATTATTTGGCAAAAGTACACCACAAGTGCCATAACTTGTGTACGGCGATCACTTTGGTGCCATAACTTTTTTTCGGATCACTTTGGTGCCAACTTTTTGAAAATCGATCACTTTAATGCCAATGCGACGTGGCTCGCGGAAATCCGATGTGGCGCCGACACGGCTCGCGGAGAGGTCCAATCAGCATTATAAACCAAAAACGACGCCGTTTAGCCCGACGTATATTTTTTAAAATATTATATTATAATTAATTAATTAATTAAAAAAAAAAGCCTGCAGAGCGGCGAGGAGCCCTCGCCGCTATCGCCGCCAGCCACCACCGCCGGGAAGGGCCGGCGGTGGTGCGTGCGTGGTCGGCGAGGGTCGCGCCACTGGCCGGGCAGGCAACCCTCGCCGACCCCGGCGACCCTCGCCTCGCCGGCGAGGCCCGATCTCGGCGAGGCGAGACCTCGCCGTCGCCCGGGTCGCGACGGCGAGGTCTCGCCTCTCGCCCGCCGAAGGCGAGGCCGCGCCTCGCCGTCGCCCGGGTCGCGACGGCGAGGTCTCGCCTCGCCCGGGCCGAAGGCGAGGCCGCGCCTCGCCGTCGCCACCCGTGCGATGGCGAGGTCGGCCTCGCCCGGCAAATGGCGGGCGGGGCCTCGCCCGTGGACCTGTGCGACGGCGAGGTCTAGCCTTGCCGGATCCGACCCTCGCCGGCGAGGCGAGGTCGCCGGCCCCGACCAAGGGCCGCGACCTCGCCGGCGCGGCGAGGGTCGCCGGGCCCCGACCAAGGGCCGGCGACCCTCGCCGACCACTGCGCCCACCACCGCCGCCCTTCCCGGCGGTGGTGGCATGGCAAGCAGAGGCGAGGGCTCCCTCGCCGCCGCCGCAACACCTTTTTTATTATTTTTTTGTTTTTTGTTTAATTATTTTAATTATTATTATTTTTCTAAAAATTAAAAAATTCGAAAAAAAGCCACGTAATTTTCACCGTGTACAAGTCAAACAATTTTTTTTTAATATAAATGCCATGTCAGCTTTTTGGCCGGAGTCACTAAAGTGATCGATTTTCCTCCGACTTGGCACCAAAGTGATCCGAAAAAAAATTATGGCACCAAAGTGATTGCCGTACACAAGTTATGGCACTTGTGGTGTACTTTTGTCAAAATTATTTGGTAACTTAATCGGAAATTAGCTGGTAAGTCACGCAAATAATAATGGGTAACTTCATATAGTACTTGGTAAGTTCGTGGCATAAAAGCTGGTACATGAAGAGAAGTTTTTTTTTTTTCAAGAGTTTACTCTAAGTTGGGAAAATTTCAGACACTCCTATCTGGTTTCTCTCTTTTTTTAAATCTACAACTTGCACTTTTAAAACTTTTCAATTTGACAGATCAAGATCCACTTCTTCCAAATCGAACCCCAAAACCTCCGAGCTAATCTCATTTACGCGCCGGCCGGGCAACACCCGCTCCCCCCCACTCTCTCAAGCTCAAAGCTCGCGTGACCATGTGAGCTGACCACATTAGGGCTCAAGTCCGAGGCCTAGCGAGGTTGTGGCCGGACATAGGCTCGAGCTCACAGCCCTTGTGTGTGCTCGTGGCTTTGTAAAGCTCGGAGCTCGCAGCCATGGTGGTGGGGT